TTTTTTTAATTGATAAATAACATACAATATATTTGTTTGAACTTAGAATCCCGAGAAAAATAATATTTCCTTTTATTAACGAGACCATTAGTAGGTTCAAAGCTATCTTATTTTTTTTAGCTTTTTCTTACAACCAATCCTTAATTTTATTATTTTTGCCTCAATTTTATTTTACTTTTTGTATAATTATAAAAGGGATAAAAATTATTTATAATATGAATTCCGCGTTAAGTATCAATCGAAGTTTTTTTTCTTGAATGGTATAGCATGGTTATAAGGTAGTATTATATTAAAATATTTTTAGCTATCGATAACGATTATACACCCACAAACGCAATTGTTTAATGAAAATTTAATGACAAAATGTTCCTTTCAAATATTTAAATCTTCAATTTAATGAAAATTTTCAATTTTACAAATGGCTTGCCAAGAGTCCAAGTATCTAATCGTGCTCAAATTGCCCAAAGCACACAAACGTTGACCAAAAATTTCAGAATCATTTGAATCCAACCATTCAAAAAGTCAAAGACAAAATGGTAGATAAAATTAAACAAATGACAATGTTAAGATATATATATATATATATATATATAAATATATTTAAAATACATTAAAAACAATATAAATGTTTTAAAAATATAAAAATATTATTAAATCAAAAGTTATGAATTATTACCCTTTTTAACATAATTATAAACAATAATAAAAATGTCAGCTTGGTTTCAGCCCCACACACAACTCTCCATCTTATCTTATCGTAAAAAAAAAAAAAACCCTAATTCACCTCTACCCTTCTTACCTACTTAACCCAATAAAATGGTAGAATTCTTAAGGCAGAAGAAAATGAAAAACCCATCCCTTAAATCTAAAAATATTTACTTTTTCAACACCTTCAAGCAAAACCCAATTAAAATTTCACAATTTTTTTTGCCTTGGGGAGCTGTAAACTAATTTACTGAAGTGCTCTGTTTAGTGATGATGGAAAATTCAAGTTTCCCAGAAAATAATACAGTCGCTGACAACGTCAGCTTAGAGAATGAAGAGAGTGACGGAATTTTTCTTCAGGCAGCCGTTGGCCGAGGCAAGAGACTTTAGCTCTGCTGAAGATAAGGTCTGAAATGGACGTCGCTTTTAGAGACTCCAGTGTAAAGTCTCCTCTATGGGAAGAAATTTCCAGGTTTGCTTTCTTTATTTTTTTTCTCTGAGAAAATTTACTGGGAAATGCAGGGTTTTACACGGAAAATGTGGAAACATTTGGGGTTTACTTTTGTTGCGATATTGAATTCCATCTAGTTTAATTACACTGGTTTGAAAGAACTCAGAGAGCTGTAAATACAGTAAAAAAGTTTTATGGGTTAAAAAAGTTTTTTTTATTGTATTTTGTTTTAATTTCACTCTTAGGTTCAATAATCTTAACTATCTTTAAAATTTTTAGTTACTTCAATTTAGTTTATTGCATTAATTTGTGAAGTTAAAGTAATTAACCCTGAGGTGCAACAATGGGATTTTTTTGATCAGGAAAATGGCTGAGCTGGGATATATTAGAAGTGCCAAGAAATGTAAAGAGAAATTTGAGAATATCTACAAATACCACCGGAGAACCAAAGGAGGTCGGTCCGGGAAATCAAACGGGAAGAATTATAGGTTTTTTGAGCAATTAGAAGCATTGGATCATCAACCTTCTTTGCTCCCACCTGCCTGTGGGAATTTCAACACCCCAGTAGAGCCTTTGAATGTTATCCATGATGCTATTCCGTTTTCGGTCCAGAACCCGGCTATGAATTTCAATGAAACCTCTACCTCTATGACTTATTCTTCCGGTAAGGAGCCGGATGAATCGGAAGGGACTAAAAGAAAAGAGGAAACTGACCGACTTTCGAGGGTTATGAGGGAGATGATGGAGAAGCAAGAGAATTTGCAGAAGAAGTTTTAGAGGCAATAGAGAAGATTGAACAGGATAGGATGGCTAGAGGAGCATGGAAGGAACAAGAATTGGCTCGGATTAAGAGGGAGCGCGAGTTTTTGGTGCAAGAGAGATCGATTGCAGCGGCTAAAGATGCTGCCGTGCTAGCATTCCTACAGAAGTTTTCTGATCAATCAACCCCTGTGCAATTGCCCGAGACCACATTACCTGTCGAGAAGCCGTTGATAGGCAAGAAATAGCAATGGTAGCGAGAGTTATATGCACCTAGTAATTCTCGTTGGCCCAAGAGAAGTTGAGGCTTTGATAAGATTGACGACTACTCTTGCTTTGCAGTATCAATGGTCCCAAAGCCCTTGGGGGAGATATCAACAGCTATGAAAAACGGCTACAACCGAAGTGCTAAGAAATGTAAAGAGAAATGGGAGAATATGAAGTACTTCAAAGAGTGAAAGAAAGCAATAAGAAACGCCCCGAGGATTCCAAGACATGTCCTTACTTTGACCAGCTAGATGCTCTATACAGAAAAAACTAAAAGGATTGATGGCCAGTTAATTATGATTTAAAGCCCGAGGAACTTTTGATGCACATGATGGTGCCCAAGAAGACGCCGCATCAAGAATCACAACAGGGATGGTGAAAGCGAACGCGATCAACTCGGGATGAAACCAGAAACACCGATGGAGTAGGAGGAGAAGGAGATGCTTATCGAGTCCTAGGTAATGATCCTTCTCCAATGGCAAATATTGGTTGATAGTTAGACAAATAGTGAAATTTCCTTTTCCGATTGCTTAAATTTTGTTATAGTGAGTCAGGGTCCATAGTGTAGCGTCTGTAAAATAGTTGTGTGGAGGGCATATTTGAGTTTTGAGAAGTTTCTTTTGATACAGCATGGCCATAAATGTATAGGTTCAACATCATTTGTTTTGAATAAACTATGTGGGACAAAGTGAGTGGAATAAACTGTGTTTTTAAAACAAACTTGTTTTAAACCCTAAACAAAGTGGGAAATGGTTTGGTTTGATTGGTTTGCTTGTGATTGTAATGCATGACTCAGTGTAGAATTACCTCAGCATTTAACAAGGTTTGAAATTTTTGATGTAGTAGTAATTAATATACTCGTGCGCCTGCAATAGCAAAATGCATATATTTTATTTAAGTTATAAGATCTCTGTTCCCTTCTTACAAATACATGTATATGGCCCATTGTTAATTATGAGGCCAAAAGCTATAGCTTTGGAAGAGACAACGTGGGTGGATGAGAATTGCTTATGAAAAAGATTACAAAAAAAAAGTATCCATTATTGTTGTAGTTGTTCTCTACTTGGAGCTTAAATTTGAAGGAACGCTAAATCACTAATCACTAATCACCTCAGGATAAAGCATGACATAATGATTCGTATGCAGCAACACATGCTTTAAATCTCTCTTCAGCAATTGCCTGCGTAAATATATTGATATCATGGGACTTGCCGCAACTGATCGGCACGACTAAGTCAAGTGCATTAGCTTATTGTTCTTGAAAAGGATATAACTAACCTGTGGAGGAAAGGAAAAACTGAACATGAAGGCACTTGAATACTAACGCCTTTTTAACATCTTCGAGCTTTAAACGGCCAGTCGGTGGTAGTCCAAGGATCACTCTATCAGAAAATGATCCCACTCCTGCATATGCCTCGTCCTCGGACTCACTTTCACTAGGAGTGTCTTGCTCTCCAGTTCAAATCCAGGTTCTGAGTTTCGGAAAGTAAAATCGTCCCTGAAAGACCGAGTATACCACTTGTTCCCAAATGCAGATTCAAATATAGTCTCGGGATTATCAAAGTACTCCGAGAAACTCTCTTCTAAACCGTCCTGTGCATGTAAAAGAAAGACATCTAACTCGTTAATCACACATGAGGGAAAGCACTCAAACAATTGGTTGAAATCAGGCACTGTACACTGCACGAAGATTATATAAACATGAAACCTCTGTTTTGAAAACCGGACCGGACCGGCCCGGCCGGTTCAATCGGGAACCGTTGTCTAATCCGGTTCAATTTAAACCGGTTGAACTACTAGTGAACCGGCCAGAACCGTTGAACCGTTCGAACCGGACCGGCTGAAAATCGGAAAAAACAAAATTTTATTTTAAAAAAAAAATTAAACCAAACGTCGTTTGTTAAACGAGCCAAGTCGAACTCGAGTATTGCTGAGGTCGACTCGAACTTGACAAAAGTTCAAAACTCGAAATATAATATTGAAACTTGAACTCAAAAAGGCTTGAACTAAAAAAAAATTAGAAGCTCAATTGAAGCCTAAAATTCGAGCTTGATTGAAGTGAAATAATAGTTCACTCAATGCTCACCAAAAGGCTCCATGATTTTGAATGCCAAATTACCTCTATTATTTATAGAAGTTAGTTGTGATGCTCTTCTATGTTTCTTAGTAATGTGTGATTGTTTTGTTCTCATATTTTTACTCTTTAGACTTTTGGGATGCTCTTCTATGTTTCTTAGCCATGTGGGATTGTTTTAAAAAAAAAATTAAACCAAACAATATCATTTTGTTATGATTTTTTTACTCCAAATTTATTTTTTAATATAGTTATATAATTATATTTATTATTTAATATTTTTACCTTAAATATTGTTGTAGTTAATTTGAATCATTTTGTTTCACTTGATTTTATGGTTTTTAATTATATGTTATGACTTGCTTTGAATATGACTTGTGATATAAAAAATTATTTTTTATTAAATATTTTTGGTATTTTTATTTAATTTTTTAAATAATTATGACGTCGTCCGGTTCGACCGGTTGAACCAGTGAATCGGTAGCATGACCGGTTCGCTAACCGGTCCGGTTCTGAAAACCATGCATGAAACTCAAGTTAACGTTGCAGATAATTCAGGTCATCAAAAGATATCCGGTTCAGCTATGAAAATAGTGCAGAAAATACGGAATTGTTAATTTTAAAAAATCATTTAAAGAGAGAAAATGTTGAAGCCCACGCTTACTTTTCCTCCCGTTAGATTTTCCCAGCACGTCGTCCAGAAAACCTCAACCGATTCTTCTTAACAGAGCCATCCAAATCCCGGCCACCTGTCCCATCAAATTTCCATATTGGATCTTCATCCTACGTAGAAGCCAAAGGCATGCGTAAGTCAATAATGTCATTTCAGCTACTAATGAAAAGCACAAGCCCAATCTCCGGTATAATGTAATTGAGAAGCAGGATAAAGGTATCGATGCCGTACACTTGAGACCACTAGTTTATTTGGGAAATAAATGACCTTTAGTCTTAACAAAGTGAGATCGAAGTTGTCAATAGCCACCTCCAAAAGTGTCGAATATTAATGAAAAATCGAATATTAATTCCAAGGCATGAACTTTTGTTGAAAAACAAGCAATGTTCCAGCTTGCTTTACTTATTCGAATTTCGGTAACGTAAACAGTGCATGAGGACAATGTAAGTGTACACTTCCAATAAGTTAAGTGTTCTAAATCAAACAAGAGTCCAGGAAAAGCTTACCTGAAATGAAATATTCGAGGCACGGTCACTAGAGAAAAGGTTTCTCAAAGCTCTCTTTGTTTCAGCACGCCTTTGGCGTACTGCATACCTTTCGTAACTCTGCATTCATATTTGAAATACCACACAAGTTCTATTTTTGAAAACTACAAATAAAGTAAGAAAGTAAACCGACAGAAGAAGGCAAAATGTTCGTACAAAGCTACTTAGGAAGAATGAAATTAACAAATAGCCAGTATTTTAACCTATTAGCAGATGAGTCCCTGACCAACTGTAAACATTAAAATTAACCATGGTGAATAATTTCTTGAGATGCATTAGGGTTCTATTTACACTAAATGATTATAGAAAAGTTCCCAGTCTACCGAAAGAATAAACCTTGAAATCCGACGAGTATAGCTCAGTTTTCAGAATCGGACTTGCATTTAGTCTACCAAGAGTCCGAAAGTATTGTAGAAGTACCAATCTTCTTTTTATTATTTCATTTGGGGAAAGGAGGATTCGAACAATGCTCTTAGAACATGAAGATCATGCACCAACAGACTGAGCCAAAAATGCCAGGCCTAGAATAACATCAATCTTAAGACACACCTATCTCGTATAACAGGATCAACATTCAAGAGATTCATATGCAATTGAGAAAGCCAGGAAAGCTGCATACCTTAGTTGGTTGTTGAGTGCTTCTTTTATCCTGTAAAAGACGGTGTTGATTGTCAAAATTTCTTGGAAAAGTACAGATTTATCCGAAATTCCTTACCACATTACTAAAATCCAAAGCTCAATTCTATGTTCCCAGTCCAGAGGGGAGAAAGAGTAGAAATAATCGTTCTCAGAGAAAACAACTTACTTTGATCAGAACTAGGAATAAATAATTTGGGGAATAAGGTTGAAAATTGCTCCATTGGCTGAACATATCAATTGATTCAGCCTTAGATGATTTGAGGTTCTCTTTCACTAAATACTAGAAATAACCGAGCAGACATTTTTAACATGTCTAATTTTGATGTTATCACAGTCATTCACAGAGCACTTGTTAAAAAGATTACATTTTCCATTGAAGAGATCCCATCAATATTTCTAATACAATTTCATGAACTTGCTATTCGATGAAAATAAAAACCCAAGTTCAAGCTCACCCGTGGCATTTAAAACATAAAAAAAAATCAAGGTAAAGAAGAAGAAGAAGAAAAGACACAAAATTCCATTTGTTCTTCCATTTTCACAGGTAAAAGGCGTGGAATGAAATGAACCTACATCTGTAGTAGCAGCAGCAGTTTGTTTTGCAGCTAAGAAAGGTGGAATCAACGAATTCTTGAGTAGAAAGGAGTTTCGGCATCTGAAAATTTGCATAATCGAATAAAAAAATGTCAAACCACCTGCCCTAAGAAGTGGCACACTGTTAAGAATTTAGTAGTATATACTCAGAAAACGATTACAACCATTTCATATATTTTTCAGTGCAAGTATACATGACTTATATAGCATTTGATTGCTGAGCTAAGCAGTAATCTACTTAACAAAAAATATAACCGTATAACAGCACCCTAACAACCTACAAATTTGATTTCATGCAATACAATGTACGCTACTAACTATGAGCTTAATTACATCTTTTTGAATCTTCTCCATGCACGCCATGCTTAAGTCTGCACTCGATCATTCTTCCAACATTCCTCCTGCTTTTCCTCTCCTCATTCCTTTTTAAGACACATTCACCTGTTCTCGAAAAATTGCAAAGGCTATCTTTGACAAGGGCTTTGTAAATCCATCTGCTAGCTGATGTTCAACAGGGACATAACTAACACATAATTGATTTCTAGCAATTTTTTCCCTGACAAAGTGCACATCTAAATCAACATGTTTAGATTGTGCATGATGAATCGGATTCGCACTTAACGATATGGCACTCGTGTTATCACACCAAATGATTGGTTTTTCCTGCTGAGTTACTCCAATATCATTCAACAATGCATCTATCCAGGTAACCTCTGCAATATCATCTGCAAGGCTGCGATATTCGCTTCCATGGTCGACCTGGAGACAACCTTCTGTTTATTTGTACTCCAGGTTACCACCAAGTAGAACGCAATGTCCTGACATCGATATGCGATCATCGACACAACCACCCAATCCGCATCAGCAGAAGCAACGATTCTTAGCGCTTCCCTTGAGGGCTTGAAGAGCAAACCATACTCAAATGTGTCAGCTAAGTATCTTAGAATACGCTTGGCAGCCTGTATATGAGTCTCGTGTGGTTTGTGCATAAATTGAGCAACCTTGCTCACGCTATACACTATGTTAGGTCTTGTGTGACATGCATAAAGCAGTGCACCAACCATACTTCGAAATTCTCGAGCATCTTCAATAAGTTTTCCAGCATCCTTTTGAAGTTTATTTGAAACCACCATTGGTGTACTGGTAGAAGTTGCCTTCATCATGCTCTGATACCATGTGAGAATGCTGTCATGGAGGCTGGGAGTGATGAAAGCTGATGGACTAAGATAACAAATGAAGGAGGAGGCTTAAAGATAGAGAGATGACATAATGAAGCTTTTATTGCACATTGAAGAAATAATTTGCATACAATCTAATACAAGTATGACTTATATAGTCCAAGTAACCAACAACCATAACAAACTAATAACAACTAATAACACTCTAATATTCACTCTACTTTTCCACCTTTTAATTTTCTTCAAAATGAACTTGCTATTAGAGAGTTGATCAAACAAAGAATGCAAACTTAATAAGCTGGAATTCAACAGTTGCCGTCTCGATGAACATTTTGTCGGACAAATTCTCTTTCACCTAAAACATCTTCTTTCTTCAACTTTCCTCGGCTTTTCTTCTACTTCAAGAGTTATTTTTCATCTTCACTGTTCTTCCTCTTCCCTTATTAGGACTTTCTTTTTGTTGGAAGCAAGGCGGTTAAGCTACGAGCTCCCGGATGCAATCTGAAGCCTCTATTGGGCAAGAAAACATCCTATTTTGTCTGGTTAAGGAAGGCAAGATTGTTAAACTCTTAACCCTCCCCAGAGATTTTCTTCTATGGTAACTTGGCTATTAAGCCTCAAAGTTCCATGTCAAACTTTGGAGAAGAAGTAACAAGTGATGAAAGATACTCTATGAACACCTTAAAGCTTCTGTATGATTTGAGAACCGAACGAAAAATGCATAACCAACAAAATAGTAGCAACTAGACAGAGGACAATGAAATAATTGAAGGGATTGTCGACTGGGAACCCGATTAAATGCTCGATAAGCAATAGCAAGCATTGTGCCGAGCAGGAGAAGTTTCGATGCTCAGTAGTTTGCAGACCAATCTGCAACACTTCTGACTTTTTTTCATACCAGTAGATTCCTTATTCGCCTCTACATCGACGCTGAAAGTTGCACCGCATACATGACCTGAACTGTCCACCCTCGACACCGGCTTCAACTCGTTCAGAGGATGCTCGTAGCTCCTTAACCCTCCGGAGGATGTGAAAAAGCACCCTTTCGGGAATGGAGCAAAAGACTTCCCACAAGCTTTCTTGAGGGTCTCCGTATCATTCGCAAGAACAAGATGGCCTTCAGCGTCAGTTCCCCAGAAGAAAGGTACACTTACATCAGCATCTGAAACTATAAATGTGGCTTTTGAAGAGCTATCGTAGATAACGAAAGCAAACTTCTCTTGGATATCTCTTACAACCTGATTAGGAGGGTAATGACCTCTGTCTCAGAGTGTTCGGTAAGCTTCAATGATGATGATTCCCTTGTTTGCAGTCATGTTCAAGCCATATTGTTACTTAAGAACAACAACATTCTCGATGTGGCCTTGAAACAAGCAGAAAATGTCATCCACAACAACAAAGATTCTGGGGAGAAGTGGGTTTTGCTTTTCGAGAGAGTAGGCCATAAAACCCGAAGAACCAAGATTGTCAGTGACGGAGCCAGGATGAATAGAGGCAAAAGGGGCAGCTAAATAGCCATTGTTGAGTGCTAAATCTGTTCCAGAGTCGCTGGGAACATTAAGAGCATCGGGGCTCTTGGCAATCGATTTCTCGAAAATTGCTAACATTTTTTCTGTTATTTTTCTTTGCAAAGAAAACTAAAAGCAGATGATAATTGTGACGGAAGCAGCGGCTTCGGGACCTTCGACGAATGATACCATGTTAAGAATTTAGTATATACTCAAAAACGATTACTGCCATTTCATATATTTCTCAGTGCAAGTATACATGACTTATATAGCATTTGATTGCTGAGCTAAGAAGTAATATGCTTAACAAAAATTTAATCGTATAACAGCACCCTAACAGCCTACAGATTTGATTTCCTGCAACACAGTGTACGCTACTAACTATGAGCTTAATTACAACTTCTTGAATCTTCTCCATGCACGCCATGCTTAAGTTTGCACTCGATCATTCTTCCAACACACACCGATCAAAGCTCTGGTTTTTTTTTTACTTTTTCAGTTAAGAAAACTGATTTTTAACTATTTTTAAATGACAAAAAGGAGATTCCTTTTTGCGGTGAAACAGAAAAAAGGCCGAGAGGGTCTCTTCCTCGTCTTCTCTTCTATTCGACAGGGACGGTAAGAAGTCGTGTACGTTTTAAGGATAAATTATCTTTTTCAACACTGAGGTTTCCTCTCACTCCTAAATTTTCACTAAAGTATAAAACATTTTAATTTGATCGTTAACTTTGACATTATTCGTGTCTTAGTCATTCCACCATTAATAAAAAACTGATGTGATGATAACACATCAAAATGAAGGTTAAAAACACAACTCTTTCAATTTTGTGATTATGTTTTGTTAAAGAAATTAAAAATAACTTCAACTACTGAATTTTTTTGTTTTTTAATTTTATTTATTTATGTTTGATGATTATAATCAATTGGAGTTGTGACTAGAGATCAAACAATTTAGTCATTGGAGGCCACACTGGCAGATTAGAAGTCTCCCTTAGGCTGAATAGACTGAGGCTCGAGCTATTCTTAAGGACATTTCTGTTAATGCTGAAATGGTTGGAAAAAGATGTTTATTGAGGGTGATGCTTGTACCATTGGTAATAGACTGGTTAACCCTGCAATGAACTCAACTGTTGTCAACCATATGGTTAAGCTCGTCGTTTACTTGGTGAAAATCCCATTTTTTAAGGTTAACTTTCAAAGGAGAGCTGATAATGTTGTAGCTTATTCTTTAGCTCAATGGGGAATTTAGTTGTGTTGCTCATATTTGGTTTGTTTCAGATGTCATTTCGTTGTTTTAGATGTTTTGAATAGTCAATGCAATGTTTTCCTTAAAGAGAATCTATTGCTGATTACGACAGTCAACAATAAGTGAAACGATAAATCATCTAGTGGTTATATTTTGAATTCATTCGAATAAAAGATTAAGTGATTGTTGATTGATGGTTCTAAAAGTGTAGATTTAAGAATTTGAGAGAAAATATTAGTTGGGCTTTGTAGTTAAATAATCCATTCTCATAAGCATATACTAAAACATGCAAGCCTGAACTTAACGCAATATTAGGTCATAAATTACATAGGGTTGTTAAACTCGAGATAATACATTCTCTTATATTTGTACAATAGAAAAATTATTAAAAAATATATAGGGTATGTAAATTTTGAAACTACTTCGTTGAGCCTGACACGAAGAATAGATTCTCACGAATGCGTCACTTTACCCTATTTAATGGGAACATAGCTTAGGTATAAAGCTTATGAAATAAAATACGAGTGTTCTTTTGTTTCAAAAAAAGAATTCTTAAAATCATTGAAAGCACACATGAGTACAACTATTTATATGTAAATAATTTCAAAAACAAGTAAAAGGATAAAAAAAATAAATTACGGCTCAAACTTACAAGTTACGCTTAGGAAGACGATCGATAATCGATTATAACTTGACCCTTTTCATGAAGAGAAACATATTTATTTTTATGAAACTACAATAATCCATTAGTAAAATAAAAATGTTAGCATTTACTAGTAAATAATAATAAATAAAAATAACAGAGTAAATCATTGTTTTAGAAGTAACTTTGTTTGGATCAATATAATTTCGAAAGTATATGTTGTCCAGTCTTCTAAATTTTATACACATAAAATAAATAATTTCAGCGCATCGAAACAAGTCTCATTTCAGAAATATTAATTTTTATTTTATTTGAATTATTTAACGTGAGTTGTCATTGGCTCTCATTTTCTTTATTCCTTGAGATCCATATGCATTTGATAATTGAAATCAAGAGATTTTCTTCTTCATTTTGCATAATAATTCCTATTTTACAACAAGATAGTGGACTATGTAACGTGCATTGACATGTCCCACTCGGCTCCAATATTCATGGCCATTTAATAACTTCTTAATTGTCCACAAATAAATCCAAAAACAAAATAATTCTCTTAATCAACGTTAGATGATTCGAAAGCTTTACAGCTTGAGCCACCTGTTCTTCTTATCGATATTGTTACAAACATTTATGGAAATTTTGTCAATTAGTTCCCGTCGTCGGTTTATATAAATTTTTATGTCTTTCTACTGTTCTTCACCACAAATTGTTTAGATTCGGTTCTCTCTGGTTTCTGAAAGCTCAGGAAATATGGGAGGTTGTGCCACCAAACCGAAGGTTTTAAAGGGTGACGACGGCGGCGTACCTTCTGCGTCGGCGGCTCCCGAAGCAAAGGAGGGTGCTGATGTAGCCGTCGACGATGAAGCAACCAACAAGGGAGAATCTCTTGGTAACTTGTTGAACGGGGTATCACTTTCTGAATCCGTGACAACACTGTTTACGTTTAAATGCATTTTGATGGTATTAAAATCTTCCAGAAATAAAGGGATTAATCACTTTCATACCCGTCTTTGCAATATCATTTGTATGTTTCAATGGATCATGACTGCTTTTGTCTTTTACCTTTTGGTTGGCAAGGGAGTGAAACTAAAGGGAAAGATTCGAAAAGAATAAATAATAATTCCACATATGTTTTCCTATTGATTTTGCATTAATAATCGGTACACAATAAGGACCATAAACGAAAGCATCATTTGCAGACTGAAAAGAAGGGAGCCGGTGAGACCGAGGCTGAGACCGATGATCAACCGCCGTTGAAGCTGACAGAAACAAAACCAGTTGAGGCGGTAGCCACGGCAGCAGTGGATGTGACTGAGACAGAAAAGAAGGAAACATCAGCAGCAGGCGAAGATGAAACAGCAAAGTGAAGCTGCAACGTTTATGTTCAAACACATTTTGCCTATAGAAATCAAGTGTTCAGGGCTTTTAAGCGACGTATTTTTGTTGCTCTTAAAATCTTTATTTTCTTTCATCTGAGTTTGTGATTTTTTGCTTTCTATATTTTGTTCACATGGACATGTGTGCTTTTATTAGATTCAATTTATAAGCATGTATTTGTTGTACCTGATTCGACCCGAATTGGGTCCAACACTTTTGGTTTCTTACTCAGTGGATCTTTCTTGGCTCAACACTAGTTAATTTAACTGTTACTTTGTGAAAAAATGTTGTTGGTGTGTATTATTTTGTGCACGATAATGTTGACAGGATAATTCATCTCATTAGAGATAATCATAACACAAGGAGATAATTCCTAAAAGTTTGGATTTCCAAGAAGAGTTTAAAGAAGGAAAGAAATCTTAATTGTAAAAGATTTAAGGATAAAGATAAAAGAGATTTAATTATTTTATTAAAAGAGATTTATTATCTCTTTATTTAAAAGAGAGTAAATAGTTCTTTTATTAGAATTAAAACTCTAATCCAACAAGAACCAAACTGACGTATCTCCTATAAAAGAGAAGAGAAGAAGCACAAGAAAAGATACGTTGGGGGAGGCGGCTAGAGAGAGAAAAAGGAGCATGATCTTCTTCTTCTTTATTTCTTCTTTATTTTTCTTTTCATGGGATTGGGAAATCTTTATCTTGTAATCTTTTTGCACCCACCCATAGACGGAATTAATTTGCCTTGGGTTATTAGGATTTTGTGGTTGTGAAACTTTTGGATTTGTTTAAGTTCTTGATTGTCTTTTTAATTCAAAGTTTGTTCATTCTTGGTTCTTTAATTGACTTCGAGTGAATTGGGAGAGGATCTCGAGAGTTTATCCATTTATCTAATATCGGAAGAGTTAGATTCATTAAACGAATGAACATGATATTCATTTGAACGAACGTTGGTGAAGGTTAATCCATCTTAGGGATAAGATTTGGATTTCAACGGCTAAAATGAGTGCAATATCAGTTGTTGTTCACTCATGATTAACGTAGGGATGTATCATCAAGGCATGCACAATTGATCATTCCTTTGAAGTTAGGAATAACAAGAAGGCATTAAAGAATGCTCTGTCGGGCTTTGAAGGAGGAAACCCAGTTGCTTCTCCAATTGAATCATTTTCAGTTGTCATGGTAATCGAGTTGCCTCGGCAATCAACTACTTAGACTTTCCAGACAACAGTCACAATAACCCGACCTACTCTCTCACTTGATATCTTTATAGAAGGAAGTTCATCCATAAATAAAAGGTTCTTATAATATACAAGTTATGAAAGTTGTTTTATAGTTGTAAGTTCTCGTATCAACATTCATTGTGCACACGTAACACGAGGTTCCTACCCAAACCATGTTCCTTTTTTTAGGTATGAGTAAACACTATACATTCGTGAGGTGAACCTTCCTGCAAGATAATAAGTTATTTCTGGGACACATATGTCTTATGTATTTGAGATGTAAACCTCAATGTAAGCATAGAGAAATATATCATCCCAGATTAAACTCACACTACATAAACATTTAACGGGTGAGGACTGAGAGTCTTACTAGCCTTGATAATCGATAGTAAAAACAACTCAGATATCCTCTTTTAGAACAAAACCTCATGTAGTATACAATAAGAGTCCATCTTATTAGAGCTATGTTGAATTTTACCCGTTAATGGTTACTAATACAAGTACACGTAGAGAACACCTCTAACTCTTATTCGTCTTTGCTCATTTTTATATTCCATTATGTAAACTAAGCACGATTGTTTTATTTCCTTCTTCGTTTGACCAGTGGTCATGATAGATAGTGATGCATGAATGGGTAGGAGTTTTTAAAACATGACATGTTGAAAAATGTGAAATGGTCGGTGTACAAAGCTAGTTTGTAATTAGTTCTGTTATGATTGGTAGTTAGTTTGTCAATGTTACTAGCAGCTTAGATACTTTGTATATAAACACTTGTACTTCCAGTTATTGAGCAATGAAGAACATTCAAAATACACGTGTTTTCCACTTTCTCTATAGTAGGACTCATGTTTACAATTTTGTCCGTTTTTATATTATTTCCGTACTAATGTGATTTTCATTATGCATCATATTCATGTCGACATATAATGGAAAGATGTAGATATACGAATGAGTGCTTGAAATAAAAGATATTTGTAATTAGGGATGGATGGAGGAGGTGCTAGGGGGTTTGGTCGCATTTCCTAGAAACTTAATTTTTTATATATTTTCTTTGTATTTTATATGAATTATTTAATTTTACACCTCTTGAGATTTTATAATATTGCATCTATAAAATTTTAATATAATATTTTCTGTTCGCACTCGACATAATTTTATGTGTCCGTCCCTGCTTATAATGAAAATTACAAAGATTATTTTATTACTCCACCCACGTCCAAATGAACATGAGGTACACGAGTGAGAAATACTCTACACAGGTTTATATGAATAAACTTGTATGAATTGCACCGACCATACTTCAGTGGTTAAAAATAAATATTATTATTTTTAGAAGTTATGAGTTTAAGCAACAACGATTGTAAAAGAGTGTTTGAGAGTTCATTGTTAAATGATTGAGAATATTTAAAATAAATATTATTTTATAATCACTTAACTAAAAAAAACAATGTACGAATTTTTTCACAAAATAATAATAATAATATCAAACTAGCCCTAAACAACCAAGTCCGTGCAACCTTTGTCTACATGATGCGCTGGTAAACGATGTTCATCTTCCATAATTCTTTGCTCTCTGATTTTCCCCCACAACACACTATATAGCCCTACGATCAATAAAAGCCCCCCTAACAGACTGCAAAGATTAATTAAGAATTGATCAGATGGTTTGAACTTATAATATCAATAACAAGGAAGAGAAGAGAATCTGGCCTTCCTGCAGTTATAATCTGGCATAAGAGAATGGCAGAACAGAGGACGGTGAAGATGAGATTCAATGGCGTGGACATGGCCAAGAACACTGGCCCCTTCTGCTCAATAACCCATGCTTGTAGGTAATATGTGACGCCTGTCACCACTATCCCCTGCACAATCCTACCAATATATGGTTTAAAGTGCGTTTCTATGTAGGATATTGATAACAATGGTAGTTGTGCTAGATGTTTACACAATAGGCTACAGCAAGAAGTCTGAGATTCCAGCCCAGTCTCCATTGGTAAGGGTCTCGTTCCACACCGATAGCAATAGCAAATGATTGGAACGTGCTTAAAAGGCATTGAAGAGCTGTGAAGAGAAGCTTCGAAGGGTAACTCCTCAAAACCAGACCCTGTGTCACAAACAAATGTTGTCCCTCTTTTATCATATATTGTATTGCATGTGCTGATTAAGGTGGATAAATGGCTGGTTACCTGTAAAACCAGCCATAAGCCCCAAAAAATGTTGGAAAGCAACATGAGGAGACAACCCTTTATCCATGTCTCCCCAACGGAGGATGTTGGGCTCGGAAGCGTCCGGCTACGGCGGTCCTCCATCAGGTGATGGATGCAAAAGAGTTTGAAATGGGGACCCTTGTAAAAGGCAAGGGTCAATGCACCAGCCAAGCAAATTAATATTCCTACAAGCTTTGACATCCCAGCAGTTGTCTTCAGTCTCAATGCCTCCATTCTGCAACACAGATTCCAATGTTCTTATAAATTTAGTGCGGTATATAGTTCAGGTTCTGTCATACAACCAAATTCCCCAGTACCACATAAGATTTTATGTAAAAGGACGGATTTATAATATATTTTACCGTAGTAAGACAGCAATGAAAAAAGTGATGAGGGGCAGGCAATTCGTTGTTGCAGCACCTAGAGTTGCAGATGTATAAACCAGGGCGACGCCATTGATATCCAAGCTCAAAGTTATCCTAAAATATTTCCAGAAAACACATAATTAAAGCGAAAACCCTAATCTCATGCTATCATATCTATATAACGATAACTTGGAGTGTGATTTCAAGTAGACTTGCCCGATTAAAGATAGCATAAAAATCTTGCAGAAAGTCCGGCATGATAGAGGTGGCGCGGTTTTCCTTGAGTTTGAAAAGAAACTAGCAATAATTATATTATCAGAGAAAATTGAAGAATATAGTGAGTTTGAGAAATACCATTCGAAGAAGAAGGCGAGAGGGACCAATAAAAGGGTAGCAGCAGCTTGTCTGTAGAAAACGAAGACGAAATTGTTCATACCGCCATTGAATGCAGCCTTGGAGACCAAGAACATGCCTGCATAAATACCTTGTACCAGAATTACTGCAAGGTACGGCTTCTTTTTCTCCATTTTTCTTTCTTAATTTCTTCTTCTTCAAGAGAGAGAGTTATGGAGTGTGAAGTGCATGCAATAATGGAAGGAGGGTTTATATATAAGTTGAAGAGTGGAGGGATGGGCAATGGAAGGTAACCGCGATATAAACATTAGATTAATATATTAATTTTATAGAATTAATTTAAAAATAGTATCTTAAAATGATTTTTAAGTGATATTTATAATTTCATTGTCGAAAACAAAATTGCTTCTTTTAAATGAGATGTGTGTTGAGGAGGAATGCTTTTTGGGGCAAAAGGACAACCAAATGTTATTAGTCATGAATCATGATTAATGGCTGCAATTATATAGAGATGCGTCGGTCAAAGGAAATGTAGACTAATATAAGGCTAAAAAACGGTGCAATCAAAATTTTGAAAAATAACTTAAAAAAATTAAATTTAGTGTTATTGGATATATTGAATTAAATGTAATATATGTTGGTAAAGTTGACTGCAAAATCACACCGTTAGCACTGGCTAGAAAAATAAATAAAAATAAATATTGATCAACTGAAATCATGTCGTGGTAAAAACCACTTCCTTAGAAATAAATTCGCCCTGATCTGTGTAATTACTCCTATAGGCGGATTGTCCCTCGAGGTTAACACGGCCGTTCCAAATTCCATACACCCAAAATTGGAGTGGACTACTGGTGGTACAACTCCTCTGATCGTCGAAAAGACTCATAAGCTTTGAGAGAGTTGTGAGATGAGTTGAGAAGCCAAATGAGCTCTCTATTTATAGGCTAGATATAGGAGAATTTTTGTCCAACACAAATCAGAAATAAATCTGATTTATGTAATTGTCATCTTTAATCAAATGAAACTGCTGAATTAAACATAGGAATCTGGCTTAGTAGCCTATAAACAGATATACGAGCCATGGCATGATCACATCCTCGAGCACGAGTCGAGCCAAATCGAGTGGACAGACGGACGGACGCTAGCGGCGGCGGTGCACGAGAAATCCCCTTGTTCTATATCACTCAACAAGGGAGTGGAGAATGAAAATCTTAAATACTCAATCCCAATGTATTTCCCACTCTATGTGGGATTGAGCATTGCTAACATTCCTCCACTAATACGAAAAAATTCTTCTGAAACTCAAAAACAATCTTCCAGAAGAGCAATAGCGAGATTAGTTGCTTAAGCACTAGTGAACGTATCTTGAACTAGTACATAGTGATAATGAACAATCATTCTCTTAGACAAGTAAAACTAGTCTTGAACTTTCTAAGACAGGGGTAAACTCATAACACACAACTAACCCCTTCATCCACCTGAGTCCTCTAAGATATATATACAAAAGTATATATTTGGCCATCTTACCTCAAGATTCTAGTAAGTGTGCTAGAAAAATAGCCCAACATTTTTCATAGAAGGTGGCTAACCCTTCTCACTTATGCAGGTAATTTCATCAAGTTTATCTCGATATAAACTACCCTTAACAAGACTATGAAACAACTAATAGCTTATACAACAACTCAACCTCACAGAGGGTATGATGACTCTCTTCAAGTTCATTATAAATGAATCACTCAAACTTTGGGATAAGAAGTCATTAAGAATAAATATTCAGCCTCTTTAGTCGGCGAATTCAATATGTCCTTCTCACTAGGACATCCAAACTTTGGATTTGAATTCATTAAGAGTTTTTCATAAAACTCAACCTTTTTTCTAACGGTAAGTTCATATTGTCATTCTCAATTAGGACTAACTACTCAACTCTAGGCTATGAACTTATTAAGAATAGATATTCAGCTAAAATCGATAAATTCATCAAGTCTTTCTCACTAAGACCACCCATTTTGGGGTTGTGTACTATGATGGTTGTAGCAATTTTTATTGCTTCTTTTGGATAAATAAAATTGGCTTATCTAAAAAATAGAGGGTTTTTTATCCTAAAATAAAACATTGAGGACCAAAATACTCTAGAAATAAAGAATAAATGTTAAAGTGATTATTCGATCAAATATTAGATATTTTTTACACTAAAATAAAATATTAATGTCAAAATATTCTAAAAAGTATAAACTAAAATAAATATTTTAATAAATATTGAAGGTTAATTTTAATATTATACCATCTTTTTAAATACTAGAAGTTTTCATCAAACAATACAAAATTTCAATAAATGAAATTATTTGTGTGTGTTTTTTTATAGAAAGTCACTAGTTTTATTAAAAATAGAAAATATCCAGAATTATAATGAAGATTTACTAGCATAATCGTAAACGTAAATTAAATTATAATTAAGATATTTTTCTATAATCATTAACACAAAAACTAGCCACCTAGATCACACATGTACCATAAAAGGAAAATTTTAAAAAACCTAAACAATGCTCAAATAAAATAAAAATGCGAACAAATCTGACTGCATTCGCAAACGAATTACAAAAGGGGATGGAACTACTGAAAGACCACCGAAAAATCGCAAATCAGAGTCAAGCGACATGAAAAAACTATCCACGAGCGCAAAACGCGTATCCAAATCAATCCGATGGTCCAAAGCAGGGAAGACCAGCAAGATAACAAATAAGCGCATCTTGATCAGTCTTGGCGATGTCAAATACAACCCTTGTGAAAAAAGATAAACGAAAAAAGGACAAAAAATCGTAAGCTACCAAAAGGTATAGAAAAACGTGCCATAAAGACACAGATAAAAGTATCATAAAGACAAAGAACATGTCACAAAGACATAATTATTCTTATTAAAAAACTAAAAAAAAAGATAACTGGTGGGAGGCAACCAGCATCAAAACCAATGTCATCGCATGTTAAACAAAATTAAAGAATAAAAAGTTGGATTGACCAATAAAATTGATATAAATTGTAAAGAAGAAAAAAAAAGGAAAGAGAAAGAGGAGGAGGAGGAGGAAGAAAGGTGTTAGGCTTTTTTTACTATTCCTAAATTTATAAAATTATTATGCTATTTTTTAAATTATTTGTGTTTTTTTTATGTTTAAAAATCGAATGACTAAATGATACTTATAATGACGATAATTTCCCATAAAATCATAAACTTGTCATAACTTGAGACGACGAAAAAGTGTTTACATATGATTGATTTTCAAATGCTGAAGCGATTCCATCAGGAACCCCTTAGTGGAATTGCCACCACCAACCACAATAAGTGGTTATCCAACAGGACCAACACCTCGCACTTCATCTATTAATATACACATTATGCACTTGATTTTATACATTTTATCCAAATAAAATTTAGTTTAAAATAAATATTTCCTAAATTCATATCGATATTAAGGATAAATTATTATTTAACATATAGAACGCTTTCAATTTAATTTAATTATAAGATTCTTTTAGATATAAAACATTTTAACATTTGCAACATAGGAAATCGAACTTTTCCAACATCTTCGGACAAAACCTTAGAATATTAGAATCGGACAACTGTTATATATAATTGCTCACTTTTTTCATGTACTACTGCCAATATCAATCAGACAAACTTTATTTTGCAAATAATCAATTTTAATCACACGTACTTATTTCATTTACAAACATTAGTGAACTCAAAATTTAAAAGAGAAAAAATATATTAACAGAAAATTTTTAATCATATGTTCTAGAAATTGTTGACATATTACTTTTTTTTCGTTTAGAAAAGAGGATGGCGTTTTATCCCAACTCAGGATCTCCTCTCCTTATATTCTTTACGAGTTTTGTTGGGGGGTTGTGTGAATTCGTGCGTTACTCATTTATATAATTATATAAATTGATTGTTAAAGATGTTTATCTTTATTTTTAAATTTAATTTATGACGAGTCAAATAAAAGAAATTATCTTAGTATGAATTGATGTTTCTTTGTTTCATAATTTATGTCTACGTTGATTATGCACATAGTTTTAAGAGAAATATTTAATCAAAAAATGATAAAATTATTCATAAAAGGCGATTAATAGATTTGACAGATTTGTTTTAATAAATATAAATGAGTGTGATGCATAAGGGTAGAAATGAAAAATAAATATTGTTATTTATTATCTTTTCTAATAAAATATAGATTTTGGATTTGATTTTAAGTAATTTTTTCTGTTCTTATTATTAATAAATAAAAAATAAACGGTGCTAGACGGTGTTTACAACCACAAAACAAAAAAGAGGACCCCAAAACCCTAGTCGTAGCCGCTCTCCCCTTTATTTTTTTCGTTGAGTTTGTATTATTTTTTATACATCATATTAACTTTTTATTCTTTGATTTTGTTTAGTAGTATCGGTTTTGATATTGATTGCCAACCGTCGATTCTTTTTTCTTTTTATTTAATAAGAATAATTTTGTTTTATTGCACGTTTAACTATGCCTTTGTGGCATGTTTATATCTGCCTTTGTGATTGTTTTCCTTCTTTTATTTATAGTTTATCAGGGTTGGATTTGACGACACCACGAATGTTCAAGATGACACTTATTTTGAATCTTGTTGATATTCCCTGTTATAGACCTTCATATTGAATTTGGATGCGTTTGTAGATAGTTTCTCACGGCGCTCGGCTCTGATTTGCTGTTTTCGGTGGTCTTTCATTAGTTTAATTTTCTTTTTGGTTCGTTTGTCGATGCAACCAGATTATTCGTATCTATTTTTGTTCAAGTCTTTTGATTGTGTTTTCAATCTTTTCCATGTATGGTCCTTATATGTTATAAGAAAATCAAATTATATATTTAGTTTACGACGATAGTTTTAAACTCTTCCAAATTTTTAGTTTAATAGTATTTTAGGTCTTTATCAATTTGAATTTAAGTAAAATGAAGTCTCTTCTAAATTTTAAATTAAATAATAATAAGTTATTATTTTAAAATTAAATATCTTATCCCTTCTAATATTTAATTCTGGTTCCGTTTCTGTAAAAAAATATGTACGAATTAAATTATTTGAATGATTAAAGAAATGGTTCTTAAGGATTAATATCACGTTCAAAACATTGTTTGGCTGTTACCTCCCAAGTTGTGGATAAATGGTTTCTAATCTGAATAAAGTAGGGATTAAAAATTATTTATTTCCTTTTCATTTCACTTCTTTTAACCTCCTTTAAATCCACCACCACTCACTTTAAAACA